GGGGGGGGGGCGTAGACGAAGAGGACGCCGCGGACGAACCTAACACAGAGAGATGAACATGGTAAGTGGTTTGCAACGTAGACCAACGGGCACGAACTTACCATGTCCGTGGATGTCCCAGCACTCGCCTCTTCTGTCCAGCAGCCTACGAACGGCCGTCAGCACCTCAACGGCACCACGACAAGGCGGGGGGCTTACTGTCTGAGAGGTCCAACGGCGCTGTACGACGTACGGGCAGGGCCATATCCGGCTACAGCATCGTAAGTGAGTTAGTTCTTTCGTTCAAATATGATTTGAAATGACGGGCTTACCTTTCCACTAAGGTGCGATACGACGAACACGGGCATACCCCGCCCATCGAAGCAGTTGGCAGCAATCGTCGCAAGGAGACGGCGACACTCGGCGGGTAGGAGGTTTTACTTCGAGTCGGGTAGGTCTACGAGGCGGTAAGTTGACTCTTTTGGCTACGTTCAGAGATGACGCGGGGTTACCTTTGGCTTCGTAGACCCGCGTTAAACGGTCCCGAGGACAAGGGAAATGGGCGGTCGAGTGGCGAGTGGCGGCGACACGAAGGCGGGTTCTGTGCAAGGTATAAAGGTTAGTAGTTGTCTCTCGTGCAAAGGTATCTGATGCTTACCTTGCCCCTCGTAGCAGAACTACACGGCCGGAAGACGTGGCGGCTTGCGTAGGGCATCGGGAACGACCTGGAAACGAGATTGCGAGTCGGGGCGGCACGAAACCTTCGTGTTCGCGGAGGCGGAGACTGCCAGCACACAAGGTCAGTTGTGTATGATTTCTATAACATGACTGACTTACCAATTGTTTTGCTTGTAGGTTCGTCGAGCTGGCACTACAGGAACCACGTCAGAACGAGCTCAGTGGACGAAGACGGCGACAACTTACCCTGGCGCCGGCGCCATTTCAAGACGAGTCGGGCCCGACTCCCCAAGGTGCGTACCACTGTCCAAGGGCGAAGCTGACGAACGTCCGTTAGCTTTGGCCTAGAAAGACAACGGCCGACACTTACCGCCCATCGACGTCGGCGCGGTCGAGCTATCGAGAGAGACGAGAGGAGAAGGAGAGGAGAGGAGAAGAGGGAAGTGGGTGGTGGGATGTCGAAACCTGGCCAACTGGGCCAGCCTTATATACGTCTAGGAACCTGTAACGTACGTAACTAGGTGGAAATAATGATGACGATGATGAACGAATCGTTTGTTTTCTGGTAGACCGACCGAGCGGGACGCAATGACGTTAGATTTGGACTTTGATCCGCACTCGGTTGCCCCCTCCGCGTTCGTCTTTCGACGTCCTGGGCATCCTCTGCGCGGTGCAGCACATGCACGGGGCAGAGATATACATGGAGAGACGAGTGAATGCCATTTCGACCGAGTGAACTCCTTTCAACGAGCCCGAATTCACGAGAAATGCACCAGAGTGCTTTCTGCACTCCGCTGCACTTCGTGCCCAAACCACCCACCCACCCACAACCCTCTCGTCCCAGACCCTTGGAGCAGATCCAAACAAAGTCTATTCACACACGGCGACCGATTCCCGCAAGGTCCGAAGGCGCCCAGAGCGCGGTTTCAACGTACTTTCTCTCGGTACGAAACTCTACATTCCTTCATTTGCCTTGGTCTACGAAACGCCGCTCATATTCTGCGAGCTTCTGGCATGGAATATCATCCCTGACAGCACCCGTGATGGCGCTGATGGATACCAGGTGCTTGGAAACACCCGTTCTTTCGCGTTCGGCGGATGAATGGGGGATCGAGGAGAGGGTCCCCGGATGTCATCTACAGTGTCTTCCACTTCGTGTGGGTGGCCCAGCACCCAACCACCCACCAAGATGGAATAACACCAGAGGGTTGTATGATACACAGACACCAGAATCGTCCGAGATCCCGCCAAACGACTGGAGATGACGAGAGAGTGCTAAGCAGGCCCAGGAGGTGCGTAAACTATTCGCATCTTCGAGAAATCTTTCTGGACTTCTTCGCTAGCGTGACAGGCTCCTTGATTGATGGGAGTATCCATGTGCCAAGACGGGAACTTCGGGCGTCGTTTTCGTGCAGGAAACGACGAAGTGGAGGTCGAGGAGATGCAGAATGATTCCTGCCGAGGATCTTCGTACCTCGGCCGCCCCTCGCTCTCAGCGCTACATTGACACCTCATGAGGTACCCATGGAGTGGAATGTGTGTCGTGTGTCCGGTTTGTGCAGTGTTTTCGACGCTGAATCGAGTTTCGACGCTTTCGGAGATCCTACGTGCGCCACATTCCCAAACTGGGAGATCTCACCTCGGAATCGTCAAAATACTTCCTCAAACCTCTCATGTAAGCACATGACACCACCTAATCCCTCGTAATGCCATTTACCTCCGTCTATTCCCGGAGAAGGGACGTTTTCCTGTGTGTTTCGCATGTGTGAGTCCCCTAGTGCCTTTCTCACCAGATCTTCCATGGCGGTTGAGCTCATCCCGTCTTCGCAGATCGTTACCACACCTGATTGATGGAATCACGAGATGCCAAGCAAGGAGACTGGTACGTTTCTCTGCTCCCTGGAACCGTGAATTCGGAGACGAGGAGGAGACGAGCATTTGTGTGCCGTCATCCTCGAGACTCGGGCCTTCGTCCGCCGGTCATTTCCTGTAGTCTCGACCGCTATACCCGTACATTACGTTCCCCCCTTTTATTCCTGAATGTTCTCGTTCCTTTTGGGACTCTTCGGACGCACGACATTCCGCTTTCTCTCGTTTTGGATCTACCTGCCGAGTGCACCGACGTCCGCCGCCTTTCCGAGCTTCCGTAAAGGAGATTCCTTACCCTATTAGAGTCGTTTACATGGTGGAGATCGTGTATCTCGCATCTAACGAATTAAACTAGGTTTCGTGCCTAGTTTCCATTGAGATCTCTCCTCCACGAAGGTATTTTCGCCCCAATTCCAGACTTGCACATTGTTTCGCGGCGAATTCCTGCCATGTTCTCTCTATTTAACTCATTTCGGAAATGTCCTTTGTGAGGGAGAAGGCATATTGATTTTATATATGCTCGTAAACTCTATTTACGGGGCTACAGAGTTGGTTAGATAGTCTAATTACATGGTCCCGAACGAGCCGGAGCACATTCTGACGGGCGCTCTCCGAGGATTCAAAGCTAATGGATGAAAGAAGACCCATGTTAGGTACTTCTATGTTGTCTGGGTCCTCCGGGTCTTTAATCGAGTTGAGGAAGGCCCTGCGAAGGCCCATTTCAGCGAGGTTCTAAAGCAGTTGAGTAGAAAAGCCTCACCTTCTCGACACGGGTTTCCCTAACAGCGAGCATACGCTCTCGTGTCCGAGATCTATTAGTATTAACGGAAAGTTCACGACGTTTCGTCGCTGATGAATCAAAGGACTCACCATGTCCGGACCGCCACAATCACTGCTTCGTCCAACATCCGGGCTCGTCTTTCCTCGGGAATTTCCATAGCGAGTGCGAGAGTTTGGATAGGCGTGGGCGGTACTATCGCAGTAACAGACAACCTGTGCAATTTCAATGAGGAAATAGAAGGAACGAGCTAGATGACTTACCTTAACCGATAGCACCCGATTTCAAACGCAATCTAATGATCTAGATCGCTTCTCGTCAATGCTCAAGGCACGAGACGGTGGAGACTCGGACTTACCCGCAGCGTAGCCGTCGTGGGTACTATACTCGGACTGGCGGACGGCACCCGATGTGGATAAATGGAGATGGAGTGAGGGGAACGGAACCGGGAGCTGGGGAAGATCTGCTAGTGTTTCGGCACCTTCAGAAATGGTTGTAGAATTCTTCGAAGAAGTCTTGAATAGAGAAGGTTTTGGCAGTTGAAGTTGGCCGAAGGAATCCCAGAAATAAATGGCTCTTCGGAGGGACCTATCTCGTGAGACATAGATGTTTCTGGGAGGGATAGAGGACGTACCTCGAAGTGAATAAATAGCTGCTGGAGAATGTTTGGGCAGCTGAAGTTGGGCGGTTGAAGTTGGGTAAAGTCTCTTGGAGTTAACGCAACATCCTCGGAGACACTGCCGTTCTGTGGAGGTTGTGAGATGGATGGGAGAGCGAGAAGGGTTGGAAACGCACCTGTACAATGGTGCCTCATCTGCTCCAAGCTAGTCATTCGATCTCGTGTGGGAGACAGTGAGTGAATATGAAAATTTAAAGAGAGCAACGCGGAATGCACAACGAGGAATGCACCTTGGGAGGAATGGTCTAAATACGACGGCTGGCCCAGCAAGTTAGTTGATGAGTGCTGACTCGGAAATGTATACTCACCAGACAGTGTGCACCGAGCCGTCGACAAGGAGGAATGTGCGGGTGAAGATGATGGTGGGGAGAGGAAAAGTTGAGGAATGAGTAGGCAGGAAAATGGGAAAGTGGGGAGCATAGTTGGGTCGCTCTTGCGAGGTGGGAAAGAATGGTAAGGGTAGCGAGAATTCGGGAACAGTAGTGAGGGCAAAGGGATATTCGGGAGGTGAAATCACTACGTGGCAGGCTGTGAGGGAGACGGGAGAAATCAGAGGCGCGAGAAGAGTGATCGTGTGTGGCAGGAAAGATGAGAGAAGCTGAATCTAGACTTCCCTGGAATGCTCAAACGTCCAAGAAATCCAGGAAGATTGCAATAGAAGGAAAAGGATTGGTCAGCCAGCAAAATTCACGCAGTTCGGGGCTTGGTGTGGGTAACCCGATGTTACGAAACAATGGAGAATTCGGGCTGCGGCAGGGGTGAACATTCACACCGGTGATCGTCTCCTCGGATCACTGCAGCAAAAGAAATTGAGGCTTGAGCCAGAGAGAAGAAAATTGTGTAGATTTAAATCTAGTTTTATGGCTGAAGTGGGCAGTAAGTACTGGAAGCAGGGGAGGAGAGAATGGGATAAGTAATGGTGGAGGATGTGCGGAATGAAGGGAGGAGGGGTGCCAAGGCATTAGCGGATGAAGGGATGCAGCTTCTTTGTGTGCGACGGCGCTTAGTGATAGCCTGATGAGATGGGCCGAGACCGTGATTGTTACGCACGAGCAGACACGTAACACTTGGCATGGGAGGGGTATATAAGCTGGGAGGATTCTGCAGAACCCCCCAGTCCCTCTTGCTGCCACTATGCTACCGTTCCCCTTCGTCGTTCTTCCCTCATAACATTTCCTGTGGCTACCTCGCACCTATGCGAAGGTTCTGACAGCATATTCTTTTGTCCGGGCATTGTTGTTGAAGCTGAAGCCATGCGCGATGATTTAAGCGCCCATGGTTATGCCGTGGTTATGCTCGTGTGGTCAGTTACCATATCTGTCTTTATCTTTGTTCATGCTCATGATACCCTTGTATGCAGAACCCATGAAAGTTTAGATTCGATTTTTGGATGTCCGGGAAACACTTCCACATGTGTCTGGTATGTCCCCTGTGTCCTCTAACCCTTGTACCTTGTACCAGATACTGACTTGTTTCGAGGTTTAGGCGCTGCTTCGCTGTCAAGGCACGATGCCTCCCAGCTCAAATTTGATATTTGGACGTCCGGGAAATGCTGTTTCGAAGCCGTGGTATGTTAGTTTTGTTACCCGAAATTCTGTCATTTTACTTATTTGTTCTCGGCAGCATATACTTTGACCCTATGGCAACGTTTCGGTATGCTCTCGCCTGCCAACCTTTCAATTTGCTTATTGGCTTTCGCGCGAATGGTGGCTTTGAGGCTGTAGGAGGGGGGCTAATGTTGGTTGTGAGAAAGCTCTCGAGGTATGTGTGGCCACTTGCCTCGTCGAGGTCTCCCTGATGTTCTAATTCTCTCGCAGTCATTTCCCGACCGGTTGTCGACATCTTTTAACCCTGTTCCACACTTTAACCCATTCCAATTTCTGCCACCTCCACATGATGACTTGACAGTTTCATCACCCGGCCACTGTCTCTTCATCTTCTCGTCGACGAAATGGCACCTAGTCAGCATGTTCACCAACTTTGTTTAATCCCCCAGTCACTGCCTCTTCATCATGCCCTCGACAATTTGGATTTCTGTTGACCAACAACCTCGCCGGCCACCGTCTCTTCATCTCCTTGAAAAGTGAGTTTATTTCATTGTCTAATCTACATGTCTTGTCCCTATCCCTTCCCCTGCTCGTAATTACCCATGTCCGTAGAGTAGTTGGAGCGCCTCCCTGCTGTGGGGAGGCGTTTCGCTGCAATTCAATTTTTTATGTGAGAGTACCGTGGGAAATCACACCTATCAGGAATCCATGTCAGTCCGTTCTACGATTTCCTTGGCAAATCCAGGTCAGTGAAGGAAGAGAGCACGTCACCGTCAAAGTGTCGCAAGAGGTCGTGAACTTGATCCTCTTGCACTCTCCTCGCTTCGCCACGACGTTCGCCACACCAATGCCCTCAATCCCATAAATGCGTTCGTAGTCGACATACCCGAAGTCGTTGCGGTTTGTGTCCTTCAGGCTTTCAACGAAGTACGTGCCATTGGAGTTGCTGACAAAGAGGGTGCCAATCGGGCTCTTGTCTTGGAGGACCACGTCAACAGCCAATGAATGCGTCGTCGATTCGAGCATGGTGTATGCGTTTTCGCGAAGTCGGGCAGAAGTGACATGTGGGAAATGAGCTCGCGCCCATGTCTGCGAGTCGACGGACACATAGAGGTGCAAGTCGCCGTTGGGGCCTGCACTCAGGTCCTTCATAGCCACAACAGCGTATTTGGACACGATGGCGAACGCAATCACACCCCTCGCGTTCTTCCCAATCCCAAAGTCCTCCATCTTCCAGTTCTCAAAGTCGCTGCTTGAGAAGAACCGACTCGACGCCAGGTCGTGCGAGCCGCTGTCGTATCCGACGCAGAAAACTAGGTCCGAAGGTGCTTCGTGCTTGAACTCTTTCGAGCTATGTGCGAACTGGCATCTTGCAGTGTCCTTCTTGAGAAGCTTCACATCATCACTGAACGCCTCTTTCGTGTAGTATGTCTAGGAGCCTCGCTTAGATGCGCCAAGCGAAACGTCATCCTCCTCACCTCGTCGTGGCACGAAGCTCCCCATCCTCTACGGTCACAAATAGTACCCTGATAGAGGATATATCCGTATTTCGCTGGGTCTGAGTGAAAAGAGAGTGGGGCGGGTGTGAGGGCAGGTTCCATTGGAACATCGAATGGTCGCCACGTTCGTCCTCGATCCTCTGTTCGGTAGTGAGTCTTGCCGTCTGTAAGCACAAACCCCTGCAAGAAGTGGGCAAAGAGACTTGGAACGAACAGCATCGGCGCTCACAAATCGATTGTCGACAGGATGCTCAAAGAACATGGCAGCTTTGCCGGACGGTATTCCTTCAGCACGCTTCCAGTTCTTGCCCTCGTCTTGAGATACATAGATGTTTCCCTCCATCGAATCATGATAAATTGCGGTCTATTCATTCAAAATATAAGCAGGCGACGATATGCAGCTTGAAGGAGGAACTTACATCCGTGTCGTCGAAGAATAGTAGACGCGCAGGGAGATTGTTGAAAGAGCTGACTACGTGAGACGGCGAGCCCTGGCCCGCTGCCAGGAGCGCCCATAGAGATATGAGCACACCTCTGCACAAGTTTGCGGCGCTACGCCGTCTGCTCATGGTTCCCAACGTTGAGGATATTGGTCAAGAATCAGGGCGCTGCGGCTGCGAGCGTGACGAATGTTGCACAGCCACTCCTACTTTCTGCATTTGGATGTTCCCCTATTTCCTGGAAGAGTTGATTAGAGACAAGGATAAAAGAAGCCTCCAAAAGTCCTGCTTGACGGAGAAACATACTGTATTATAACGTAAATGCGGCCGTTTATCCACTCACGCATACGTGGCACACCGAGGTTCATCAGCGCTCATGCAGGCTGTTTAGTAGGAAATCAAATCATTGAACGGCAGCAGGTAAGCATTACGGAGTGACGTTAAGTAGAAATTATGCTATGATGAAGAACAGTGTTTTGGTGCTGTAATATTTCTTCATGTCACGGTCAGATCATCTGCACGCCAAAATCATGACAAACCAAAGTAGTTCTCCAGCTCGCGTCCGATATTAATTAGAACATCAACAGAGCAATCCCAAATTATTGCCACCAACGGAGTGGATCAAATATCCACGATGTAAGCAGGGAGGGGAGGCTATTGGGCCCAATTACCCTAGAGGTTACTCTATTAAAGGGCTAGATTCAAAAGGAGTGAGGAATATCGTTGTTTCGACTTGAATGAGGGATGTCTTCCGACCGATATTTGGCCGCTTGAACATCTCCATTCGCGTTGTCCCTTAGTAAGTGATGCTAGCAGCGCCGGTTGGCTTGATCTGGAAGGAGGCCTGCCAAATACGGCCACCATATTAGCACCAACCTCTTAGTCGGCTGCTCGGGCGAGCATAGGGAAATCGTTACCCCGTCTCCCCTCCTTCCTTGCTCCCTTGGGAGACTTGCCCCCACCTTTCGCCTGCAAACTCCGGTCATTTGATTAAGAATGCTGCCGGCCATGAGCAGTACCAATAGCTATGATGTATTGGGTAAATTTCGACGCCCCCGCGTGGGTGACGTTTTAATATGAATCGACTTCTTTCCGCCTATATAGATATACCGACTGTTTGTCTACATCGTTGGACCGTCTGTTCAAATAGCAGGGACACCACCTCCCTGATTCTCTCCATGAGGGATGACTTACGTTTGATAGATATCACCAAGAGACATTCCATATGCCCCGCAGGGTTCAAATACCTGAACAAAAAATTGGAGCAGGCACTTAGGACATACGCAACCTCGTCGATAAGCAGGGCTTACCGAGTCAACAATGACATTGGTGACAGGTTGCATATTCCTAGGTGCTAACCCAGTCCGATGAACTTTGGTCTTTTTCCAAGACGCCTCAGCCGAATATTTTGAAATCGCCCCTCACGCCATTCCTGGAGCGGGAGCGGTATAGGTCTAAGGTATAAATATTTATATACCAGTCTCTATGTTCGAGTCAAGCGTTCCGACCCACGAATGCCATTGATATACATTTACAATCCCTTATCGTATATGTCATACTTACACGACCAATCGACGCTCAGCCGCAAATAAGACACAGGCTCTTGGCCGACTTTTGGCTCATGAATCACGAAATCTCAGGCTCGTTTTTTGCAAGCCTTGCCGCTGACTCCACAGGACCGGACCGTGCACTCCTTATTTCGACGGAATGCCATAGATGATTAGTTGTGGCGCACCCCGGCCCGAAGACTGAATTTTCCGATTACCTAATCATTTATTCCGGAGAGCGACGACCAAGGCTTCGTCCTACGCTTGTCGAGATTTCACTACCTCGGATCGAATGTCCTTTCTTTCCGCGTCTCTGGAATTCAGGGAAAGAATTGTGTCATGTCATACAACGAAGCGTCGCTGGTTGGATTTTGTTGGGGCAAGGTTGGGGAGGAGATACGCGTCCACCGTGCGTCCAATCGTCCTCGTTTCAATTTGTCTCTCTGAAATGAGGAGATAGAAGGGTCCGGGGCGGAGGTTTACTCGAGAAATCAAGACTTTAAAACCTGACCTTATGGTTGGACTGAACCAACAAACATCCGATATCACAGGACTCACGAACGCTAGGTTTCACCTGGGGGAAGGGTCCAACTGCCCGTCCGCTCTCCTGCACTACTCGTGGAAGAACGGATCAATTCCATTTCCTCCAAAAACGAATGGCGTGCTCTACTACTACCAGGACCCGTCGCTCCCTCAACTCGCTGGCCAGGTCCGGTTCCGGTTGTGCGAAGACGTGGCTGGTTTTGCCTCCGGGGAAGACCTACTCAAAGAGTACGACGAGCCTTGGAGCGTTCAATTACTGCACATGTTCATGGGAGACCGGCTCTCCCAGTTGCGGGATAAGATACTGCAAGAAGGTCTGGTGACTAAGGACCTCTACGACGACGTCTTCAAAGTAGCTCCCTCTATCACCAGGATGGCTCGCACAATCTACAAATTGTCACAACCATTCATTGTCGATCTTCAAGCGTTCAAACTTCCGTTGACACTCGCGACACGGAAATCCATCGAGAGAATCCACCTCGACAACCTGTTTATCGACGCGTCGTACGTCACACCCGTTCAACCGTACGCCGGTATGTCCTCATTTCTATAATGGGTGACAATCCGAGTCTCACATACATAATGTCAGGTATTATCAGCGCGCGTCTGGAGCCATCTAAGCTCGGTGAACACCAGTTGGAGCCCTGCTTGGTGCTGCGTTGCCTGGACGTTATCAGCCCAATAAAATGTCTTGTCCCGGACTATGACAATCGTATCGCCCAGCCACAACCTGGCAAACTGGTCAGGAGGCGATACCGGGATGATGAAAGAGTATGGGCGTATCCGCTTGATGGTCGTGTGTGGTCATATGCTTTCAGGCGCTTCATCCTCCACTCGACTCAGTTGCCCTGAACCGTGGTAGTAAGTTGTCATTTTCCTCGTCTACTCTTCGGATTAAGACTGATTTTTTTCTTGGAAGAAGCGTCGCTCCGCGTTTTCCTTGACGGCTGCCCTGCTTCACGTCCCAGCTATCGTATATGAATGATGTTTACTGCCAACCGAGGTTCAGCGCGGCCTGAGGAAGCCTCGAGACGGAAATGTTATCACTCATGCGTCCAGCGAACATCCTCAATGAAACCTCAGGATACCCATAGTTCGAATGTTGGCTGGCGCCGAGATCGGTGGCGTCGTCCTTTTGTCCACTAATTTTATCCATAATTCACCATGTTCGATAGACGTCACACTGAATTAATGCTATGTGGAATTTCGGCTGTCTCAGCTTAATTCCAGACGCCGGGCCGTCTATGGTCCCATCGTTGATCCATGGACGAGACACACGAACGCGCAAAAGACAAAGGTTTTCGGTTGTTTTGAGATTTCAAAGACGTTCTACTTCAGGTTCAGCTCGTTCTTAACCTCCTCACAGACCTTGACCCAAATGTGGCCGATTTTCTCGAAATCTTCGAGCTGCACTCAGAATTAGATATTAGCCAAGTGAGTAAGTTAGAGGCCCCACGAACCGTGTTAAAGACCTGTGCGCTGCACCGCGTCCACCACTTTCCGTTATGGAAGACGTGGGCCGAGTACGCTTTGTACTTCACCAAGAGCTTCTCTTTGAGGACGATGTCGATCTTGGTAAACTCTTCGATGGTGGTGATGGGTGGGAGAGGCAGTTCGACGTTCACCTAGAGTTTATCAATCAGCCGTTTGCGTCGTATAGAAAGAATCGTCCTACCATGTTGAGCGTTAACTCGCCGTCCGGGTCCATCACTTGCGTGTCTAATATCTCAGCGAGGACCTTGCCGCCCTTGACCGCGAGATTGTGGCAATATGCATTGATTTTTTCTTCACCTCCAAGCCAGGCGCGATAGTCCAGGGCTTGGAGACGATGAGACAAGCGTTCGGTTAAGGAAGACTACGATTGCTAGTGACCTACCATCGGCGATGGTTAAATGGGACGTCCAGTCGATGGTTCCGGTCCCTGTGAGATGTGTGTATCAAAATACAATATCCTAGATCAAGAGAGGACAGAACTACACTCGTGTTGAGCGACGAAGTTGGACTCCTTCCTGTCCTTGGGCGAGATGTAAGCGTGGCCGGTCGGTATGGATGTCGTGATCATGTGCTGATTTCTGGTTCGTAGGGAGGCCATTCAAAATCGGCATATGAAACACGACATGAAAATACTTACCGTTCAGGTACGTAGAGAACGGCAGTTGAGCGCTTCGCGGAAAGCCACTTATGGTTATTCTACGGAATTTGAAGTCAGCGTCAAGGGATACTGGCATGAAGCGCAATCGCTCACCGATACCCAAAAGTCTGGAGCAGACTCCGTAAGATTTATCCCAACTTCTTGTCCAATAGAATGTGCGGCGTCCACGACGCTCCAAACGCCCTCTTCCTTCGCGATCTTCACCATATCCTGCCACGGCAACAGGACGCCGGGGAGGGAAACAATGCTGTCGATGACCGCGACACGCTGATTGTTAGGAGCGACAGGGTGCTCCTGAAGGAATTTTTTAAACGAAGACACAATCTCGCCATGCGTCGTTGGGAAATTGAGCTGAATGGTATGGATGGTGGGATGGGGTGGGACATCCCCGATACTTTTGGCGGCGAAAGAGATGGCGTTGTACGTCGTAGAGACTGGAAGATAAATTTGGTTGGCTCTACTACCATTTTTCAATAGCACAAACGAGCAAAAACGTACAAGTGAAAATCGCGTCTCCTTCCTCCCAATTAAAGTTCCTCAGAACAACGTTGAGGCCTATCGACGCGTTCGTGACCAACACGACCTCGTCCGTCTTCGCTCCTATGAGCTTCGCAACTCGTGCACGCACGTCATTGAGCATAGACGGGTAGGAAAACCGATGGAAGAGGTCGGGGTTTGCCTCAATCTGGTCCGTCATTTTATGTACGGCTTTGAGGACTGGCTTCGGAGTCGTGCCATACGATCCTGTTTAACAAAAACGCGATCGTGAACCTCGAAAAATGTCACATCTGAGTGCAAACTGACCGTTGTTCAAGTTGATATACTGCGGATCAAGCTTGTAATAGGCTTTCAGTTCCTCTCCGAACGAAGGTGGGTTTTGCGTATACAGAGCCTTGTAGTCGAGGTCTCCCATCGTATTTCGCGTGCAATGGTATTCTCCAGTGTCGAGGTGGAAAAAAGAAAGAGATCTGAGAAAATTGACGCTGTGAGTCAAGTGGATAAGCAATTTCAACCGGGGGAGTTAGGGGCTGATCGAGGCACGTGATGTAAATGACGCGTCGCGTCGCGTTCCGGAAACGGCGAATCAGGAGAAAGAGCAACTGCCCAGCGAGAATATGCTGGCAGAGGGATGGTTAAATAGACAGTGGGTGTTGAGAGGGTTGTTGGGACACCAGATCAAGTGGCAGGTGGTTTTATAACATAGGTGCTCGAGTGAGTCATAACTTTTGCCCTTGGACGTCGGAAAGCAGACGGACCGCGTGCGACATATTCTATTCCAGGAGATCGTATCCGAATTTCAAAGGGTGTTAGGGCATCCGATAGGATGAAAGTCACCAGAGATGGCCGGGATGACAACCGCATGCATGGTCCCCCCGCGGAATCGAGCGACCTACGGCGTAGGCTGGTGAGAGTGTAGCGCACTACTAAGAAGAACTCTGGGGATTATGACAATTTTGATTATTAGAATGGTGGTTTAGCGAAGTAAAATGCCTCAGAAGATGTTTCGCAAGACACTATTAAACAACAAATGTTATTCATAATCCGGAAATCGATTGCGACGAAAGAAGAGCCCACTCCTCGCAACGAGCGTTCCTGATACTTATTGAAGTCTCTGAGGTTCAGTTGTTTCTTTGACAGCCTTGAAATCCCGTAGTACTGTCTAGAAAATCCTGGGACTACACGTTTCTCGGAATTTGACTTGTCCACGTAATGGCCGTCCGCGAGTGAATTCAGTTTGCCCTCGAGGCGTCCAAATATTTAAGCGCTAGGAAATAATCAGCATCGCCCGCTGGAAAAGACGGAAGCACGCTCCAATAGAGTGCGTTTTTGTTCGAAAGTCTTGATTCTAGCGCTTGGTGGATTCGGGTACCATTACGATATACTGAGACTCGGGCGGCGACGACAAATAGGTCCAACCTCCTCGAAAGAATATCTATAGGGTTTACTGATATCTTCGCGGATGACATCGTCGATTCTCCTCTCTCTCGATAAGTAATTTTCTGACAAAGTCGACTTCTTCCAGCTTCTGCTATCAACGGTTTCCTTGTGTTGATGTAAGATAAATCGTTCGCCTTTCCCTCGGAATTTAGGCGCCTACTTGATAGGACCCGAGTGCCAAGTTGTTCCTGGTCGTGGCGAATTCTCCGCCCGACGCTTCTTCATTCAACTTCCAAGGCGCCAAACCTCCCATAAATTTTAGATTTCCCGCGTCGAAGGTCTAGAAGGTATTAGCTATTCTTAGAACATTTGTCGTCCATCGAGTGAGAAACGGGTCCGAAACAAACAGGGGTGTGCTTCCGTCACTGGTAGCTTTGTGGGTTTAATGTCCGCCACCCAGTGCGACAGACGCGCGTAGGCATATTGTTTTTTCTACCCCACATACGAAACAGACAGAAAATATCAAGAAATTTTTGAGAATCGGGAAGGAAACGGCGGCCTTCGATCTCGGTCCATCGGCTTGCGGATCCTCCTGCTTCTGCCTGGAGACCCCGAAAGGCACAATAGCTTGTGCGTACGCAACTTTCCTAGCCGAAAAAGTTTAATACGTCGTACGCTATCACCGTGCAGCGTCTGTGTTAGAAAGATACTGCACAAAAGCGCATATTATAATATGGTAGCGCCTTGTATTCAACCTCACCTCCCGCAGACCACGGAGTATTCGTTCTGGACAAAACGGCGCTAGAACCGTCCGCCAGTGGACAGCTAAAGACCCCGGGAGGTCGTGGCAGGAACGTTTACAAAGTTTAATGGACTGGTGTACAAGAAGGTAAGCTTCTTTCCTCCAACGTTGACACGGCCGAGCTCGCGTCATTCGCAGCTTTCAAGAGCTTAATTACCGTGTGGGCCTGAATATAATAGCGACATCTGGACGACGAGCTGTCAACCGTTTCGTTCCCGCTCTTTTTTTTCTGGCGCTTGCGCTCCTCTGTGCCGCCGCCGTCGACAGTTTTCTCGCTATTGCCCTTGGTCTGCAGCCATGTCCTCTCCTTTTGATCTTGATAACACGTACGTCTCTCTTCGCTTCATGTTATCGACCAGAAGAATTCTTAGCGACGAGGGGTTTTAGGTTGGGCGCGGCTCTCATTGGGGTGGTCGTCTCAGCAACGTGAGTACTTTCCTCCTCTTCATCGATCGCGCATTGGTCTGAGGTTTCTTTATTAGTTTGTATGGAGGCATGTAACGAAATTATTCCTTTTCTCTCCACTGAAGACACCCCACACTCTAGTCTCCGTCGTCCAAGTCTGGTATTACTACGGGCACCAGAACGATGGCTGGCCGATAAAATGGCTTGTAAGTAGACATCTTCTCTCATAAGCCACCGCTGACGACGGTGTTACAGGTCGGTGCCGTCATTATGTTCGACACCATCCACCAAGCTCTCATTACGCATACGTGTGAGCATGTTCAATATCTCTGCTGCGAGGTGGCGCGGACTGATACTCTTAAAGTATATACGTACACAGTGACGAACTGGGGCAACCCCCCTGAGCTTCAAAGAATCGTACGGTGCGTCGACATCGTTCCTGGAGGTAGAGCAAGAGCTTAACCCCGCTTCATGCGTAGGAGCATGCTGGTGCGTCCTTTACTCTCGTGGGGGGCAAGTCCGTGCTGAGGGCGATTAGGTCGAGGTCCTATTCAACGTGCGTTGTTTCCTCTGTTTCTGGCGTACTTGACGGACGCTAATTTGCCTAACAGGGGTTCACGGCCTTCCTCGTTCAGAGGTTCGTTCTTACGATAGTGCTTTCACGTTCCATGCGCTAACGAGCGTTCTAGCTTCCTGACCATGCGGGTGTGGCGGTGTACGTTTCCCTCAGAGTTTCATATCCAAGGAGCATTCTATTCATTTTTTCTCCCATCTCCGGCAGTGAGCAATCGTAAATTGCTGCTGACAGGCGTCGTCGTGAGTTTCGCGCCGGACTTTTGAATTGACGCTCATCGCTTACAAATCACTTGCATAGCTCATTTTGGTCTTTGGCGAGTTTGGTGCGTATTCTTTGCGATGTCGTTTATTCTACGCTGACGTCCACATAGCTTGCGTTATAGGTTCGTTAATTTGAGCGCATATTTTAAATCTTCATTAACGGGCCCGCGACAAGCCTTTACCGCACTGTCGTCCGTCGCTTCCCTAATTGTCCTGAGCATTTCTAAACCGTATTGCAGACTCCAACTCGAGACGTACGAAGAATTGAAGCAACTCAAGGTAAGGGCCTCTTATGTTTGAGGAATAATCTAAATTCTCCTCAGGGGTTATCGATCCTCGTCAATGCCCTGGCGGCCGCTGGAGACGTTCTCATCGCAGGCACCCTGTGCACCCTGCTCCACCTTTCACGCACCGGTTTCCACAGGTAAATTTACTTTCTCCACCTTCGACGAGGAAGATCACCATTTTGAATTTATCAGATCAGATACGATGATCAACAAGCTCGTGCGTTCTCTTCTAGACCTCTATTATCAACGTTTCATCTTCGCTGCCTAGATCCTCTTCGCAGTGAACACCGGCGTCCTTACCAGGTGCGTATGAGCCTCATCACGATTCCCAAAACGCTTATCGTTATGTAGCCTCTGCGCCATTGCTTCTCTCATATCGGTGCGCCACCTACTCGCACCCGGTGACTTGTGCTTATCGCCACCCGTCAGATCGTCGTCGTCGGCGACACCTTCCTCTACATCGCGTTCTTCTTCTGCATCGGCCGCTGTACGTCCTCGCGGCTCCGCAACCGCGCGCTCCAGCTGACGTCGCTTCTTTCCTAGTGTACACCAACTCTCTTCTCGCGACGCTCAACGCGCGCAAGATGATTCGCGGGTCCGCGGACGGCGTCCATAGCACGAGCGAGAATCTGACGCTGTCCTTGCGAGAGTTTCCCAAGACCGGCACCATGGGATCCAGGGTGACTATCTCTCCGTTTCCGTTTGAACGCCGAGGCTCACTTCGTTCTTATCGTGGACTCGTCGCAGCGTCCGGCCAATATCTCTATCAAAATAGACACGACCAAGGAGTTTGCGACGGATCGCGACTCTGACCGAGAAAACGACCTCGAGAAGACGGAGGTGAGGGCTGGCTACCATATGCCACAACGCGTCCATGGTCAGTCGGGCTGATTTCTTTTCCTTTAAGATGACCATGCAAATGAATTCCTCAGCGTTGAAATTCGAAGACAAGGAAGATAACCCTGTGTGATTCTTGTGGTTTAGGATGGTAGTTCGATGAAGGTCTGTGAAGGGAGGATACTGATGCGATGTATATACCACTTGTTTGACAAATTTGTTCAAAATTTCACTACATGTACATAGTAAAAAAATGCACGACGCTCGCTGTTAAGGATTCGAAGTATCTACATATTCCTGCGTCGAAGCACTCGAAGCCAAGAGCACTTGAAGCCAAGGGAGCACGACGTCCTGATTGGTAAACTGATGCATGAGTCACGCCGATGATCCTCCGACGATGATGACTCGAATGCAGATAAGCCATCTTATCGCAATTTACAATTTTTAGAGACACCAGCGTAGGATTTACTGAATGTCCCCTCGTCGTGAACGTCGAGTGGTGAGCAGGAGGCGTGACATGTTACGCTGTGAAAACTTCCACAGGCATTGCCTAATAAGGAAGGTATTTGAAATCGTGTGGCGCGCTTGGACCGGTGCTTTCTCGAGGCCTGTATCTCGGCCACAACTAGTCGGAAAGAGCTGAAATTTGGAGGACCAGCTCTCCTGATATGGTATTAGCGGAATATGCTGTCTAAGTCCTGTAATATAGTTGTACGACTTTGAAAATCGCGATCTCGCGGTAGACATCCCCGATCTCAATTTCGGAGCTTTTGGGACCGTTTTTTGACTAGATCCTTCGCTCTAAAAGCACTCTAACAGCAGCATGGCGCAGTGGAAGCGCGCGGGGCCCATACCGCCAGATTACGTAATCAGCGAGCAGAGAAACCCCGAGGTCACTCGATCGAAACGAGTTGCTGCTAGCCCTTCATTTTTGCTGCCATTCTATATGAAGAGAATGACTTACCAAGTAGGCTTCAATGTTTCAAAATGTCTAAATGCGAGCGTCGGTGTTTCTCCCAATATTTTGAACTCAAGAACCTTCCTTTGTGGAAAAGAATATCGGGCATTGGGGACTCCTCGGTCGTATGCCTAACAAGATTGGACTTGTTGTCACACCAACCTTCCCGATGCTTTCATGCAGTGAGTTCCGAGGGGTGAGTTCATTTTCAGTCGTGGAAATATATTCTCGTTCAATCTACGCCTCTACGAACGCGCGATATAACACCAGCTGTTCCTGCGACATGTTCTCGAACTCTACTTCCGAGTTGGCTCCGACAAAGAACACATCTCCTAGTCCTAAATCCATCAACTCCTTGCCACCGTCCCATGCGACACGAGCAGAACCTTCCGTGACAATAGCGATACTAGGGCCTTTCAGGGGCTTGTGTACTTCCTTCGCTCTTCCACCAGGAAGCTTGACTTGGACGACGGAAAATTCCGGTATTGGTGGGTCATACAACGTAGACAACGAGGAAAACGGAGTAGGATTGACGACGTGTTTCGTAGGAGGAGCGGCGGAATATGACAGTCCCGAGACGAGATTGGGGACGTCGCGGAGCTTCGGGGTGAGACCAGCGCGAATAACGTTGTCCGAATTGGCCATGCACTCTATGCACTCTGGGAAATCGAGTCAGAGAGATCAAGGTATGGAGAACGAAAACTTACCTCCGTAGACGTATGCATGAGGTTCACCCGCCCCGAGAAAGATCGCCTCTCCAGGACTCAGCCGCACATAGTTCAGGACAAATGCACAGAATATCCCAACGTCACCCGGGAACTGGTCATTCAGTCTCAGCACTAGTTTGACCACCTCCGGTTCCTCATCTTTGTGCGCCTCCCCCTTCCCGTACCGCTGAACAAGCCTCCCAAGTTGCCCCTTGATTGATTCTTCGTCAGCTGTCATGATCGACGCGAAGACGTTCTTCAATGCGACCTTCTCATCCGGGCCGGTTGGCGTTGACGAACTGGATAGGGAGAGAAAGGCGTCGAGGATGGAGGGTGGGATGAGTGAACGTAGTTCAGGTGTCGCGTTCAAGTAGGTCGCGATCTCGGGCAGAGGGCGGAAACCGCATAGGGCCAAGAAGGGCGTTATGGCCAGCGCCATCTCGGGCTTGTGGTTGGGGTCTGCCGATGTTTCTGTGTGACTTGGTGGGAAGGAAAGCGTCGTGCTACTCACCCTTGTAGATGTCGGGATGTTGCGCATGGAGGATCTCAGCCGTCGCCTTGTCGGGGTGCGCTTGGATGCTCAAGGCCTTCTCGATGGAAAGAACTTTGAAGAGGAATGGCAGATTTCCGTTGCCAGCGTCAAACTTGTCGATAACGGGTTTCCCAATGAGCTCTGGATGGGCGGCGAGATGTTCTGACAGAGTGGTGCCCGATGATTGGACATAGGATGGTGATTTCGGGTGAGTGCCCATCCACAGCTACGTTCCGTTCAACACGCCGTTGTAATCATGTAGGAAACGCTCGAACGTACCTCAGCATACGGCGATGCCTCATCGATGGTGAAACCTGGAACACGCGACGAGTCTGCAAACTGCGCGACCTTCGAGCTCTTCCCCGTCTTTCCCCAGTCATACATTTGGGTGGTGGGGACAATCTTGAAAACGGCAGCCATGGTGGCGGCAGTGGTGGTGGTAGAGAGGGGAGCGTGGCATAGTTCTAGTTTGCGTGGATGATGTAACGGCGAACGTTCACCTTCATGTTTCTCCGCCGCGTGCATGACGAAAATGGAAAGTCAGCCACAGAGATAGGGGCTTCGGCCCAGAACCTTGCAGTACGAGAGGATGATTGGACGGGAGGTCTTTTCCTCCATCAGAACAATATGGAACTCGTTAAAACGACGTTGGGGAACAAGTGCAATTATGCAAAAGGAAATTTGACTATTGTGGGCGCTTATCCGCCAAGGGCCTTCACCGTTCGGAATGCTCCGCTCCAGTCTTGCAGGTTGATCGTAGAAATGAAAACGCTCTAAGAACTATAAAAAAAACAAAGCAGTAGATATAGTGATACAAGCTAGGCAGATTACAATGGCCTCAGCGCAAAACAATAGTCAGGACAAGAGTTCAAACAATCAAACAACAGACGAGAAACATAATAACCTCGGAGACAAAAGTCCAAAACCATACTTAGCGTGAAGGATCACCTCCTCGCCCTCTTCTTGACGTTCTTCTTCTCCCCGTCGTCCTGCCCTTCGTTCCTCTTCCTCTTCTGTTGAGATCCTCCTTTCTTCTCTGGCACATAGGAGGGACAAAGCATCCCGAAGTGTTCGGTACACTTGTGGGTGCAGGTTTCCGGATCGCCGCACTTGAAGATATCTATCGACTCCTTTCGCAGGTTCGCTCGTTCGTCATTGAGGCAGTCAAGTGTTCCTCCCGCCTGCTCGTGCTTTGTGGTCAATTTCGAGAGGGCGCTTTCATTCCTCTTCGATAGGACGCCGGTGAGAGCCTGATAGTCGAGAAACTAGGTGAGAGTGGATGCGGGACGAAGTGAGTAAACTCGAAATAGAAAAATCGTCGCTCACTAACCGTTGATATTTTAGACTCCAGAGGTATCTCGGGGCAGACGGGGATGTGCTTCAAGATAAACCCGATGTAGTGATTTTCCGCATCCTTAAGCGCTTGTCTCCCATCCAGCCGGAAGAGACGCCTGCAGCCGAGGCATCCTGCGATGTTAGGATCAATGAGAGACAACAGCATGAGTGATCTCTCATTATATCCGAAATCTTTTCGTTGCTTTGGTGTCAGGTTTCGTCGACCTTTGACCCTAGTGTTGTTGCCTGTGGCTTTGGAACCCAAGGCTTCTTGCTTAGACGAGTTGGGCACGCTCTTCTTCTTGGTCTCGCTCTTTTCCTTCGTGGATTGGCTTTTCTTCCTGGACTGACTGCACGTTCTGGCTGGTGCAGAGGGCCTCTGGGAAGGCGGAGAAGATGAATTTTTATTTCCTGGCGTTTCGCCCGACGAAAGGGCTGTATCAATTTCTCGTGCGTCTTCCGTCTGAAGCATCGCCTGTCTGGGAGGTTGGCATCGACGAGAGGAGGTTGAAGTTCGGCTTCCAGCACCCTCAGGGACTCCAGATGCTGTGCTATTGGCAGGAATAAATGCATTATTTTCAACGGAAGACTGTGAAGACGTCGTGCGCCGCATTGCTCTATGTTGTTCGCGCTCTGACCTCGAAGAAGGGTACGGCTCGTGGTGACGGTAGCTCGTAGCGGTGACTTCACCCACTACACCATGAAGCTCAACGCCTACCCCGAGAAGAGGCGATCTAGCGTTCCACCGGGGCGAGCTAGAATAAAGACTAGAAATTTCCGACGGCCCTTCCGGGCCATCCAGGAAATTGGAGATATGCATTGGGTTTCCCTGAACCCGTTTGGTAAGCAGAAGTGGCGGGAAGTCGTTAGTCTCTTCGACGGGTGTAGGCATCGACGGACCGATGGAATCGTTGTGATGGAGGTCCTCATTGGTCAATCCGACGCCCCTGTTGAAGAGACTAGAGGCGGGAGAGGCATTACTGCACACCTCTGCGAGTACTTGCAGGGGGCTTGCGGAGCAATTTACTTCTTGCATTGCTGTATGAATTGGAGTGGGAGTTTGTAAACGATAATCCAGACGAAAAATCATGTTTCTGCTACTTATACCTCCAACTACACAGAGTTAGTCCACAAAGGTGCTGTACAGTCCTAGTAGCTATGCTGTACGGTAGCCCCAATTCGACCCCAATTACCACAAGTAGAAACTCATGAGGCGAGCCTCGTGTTGTGCCGCCATCAACGCGCAAGCTTCGCGCCCGCAGGAAGACCGTGAGCGTGTGGATTTGGACACACACTATCATTCAGATAGAGTCATTTTCTGCTCTACATGGAGCCCAGATGCTTGACAGAGGTCGGGGCGAAGCTGTTCATGATGATTCAATTGTGTCCGGGGGTTTGCGATTATCTAGCGAGACAGGAGCGAGCATTCGGGATTCACCGAGATTCACCGGCGCTAATTTGGATTGACCCACAAAGGTCCTCGCCTTCGAATTGGAAGGATGGTGGCCTCTACATTTCATTATTCTTCTCGAACTGCTGAATAACCCAATTCCAAACAAGAAGGAAGCCAACAAAATCAACGCGCTGTTCTTCCAGTCTTAGAGCATGCCACATGGCGTTAAGCGCCCAAATGCCACGCTCTTAGAAAGCCGCGCTGTTCCCGCCTGAATAACGCCATATCTCAGACTAACCATACACATATTCTCTCCAGCTTCTTGATTAAACGTATACATTTTCGAGGGAGCTTATGGCACTTCCGTCCTCCAGTGAAGAGCCATGCCTGACGCCACAGAGATTGTGTTGGGGTGTTTTTCCTTATCTATCGTGTTCAATGATCTACGTAGTGACTGATTGTTCTGATACCCTTGCTCAAGAATATTGCCGTCCTTGGAAGACATAGCGGGCCGTTGCAACCGCTCCAGAATCATCGCCACACAGCCTCATGCACATGTGCATCTCGTCATTCGTTCACTGCCTCCTACATGACGAAACGATTTCGCCTGGCAAACGAAGATAGTCGTATTGACATTTCCAGCTCTGGTCGTGCCACATCATGGAGGTCGTCTCCGTCGCCCTCACAGTGTGCACCCTTTGCAAGGCCATCGAAACCTGGATCGATCTGCGCGCCGAGAAGGAAGAGATAATCAAGCAGATCTCCTCCACCGTCCTCCAGATCCACAACATACTCTTACCATTCGCCTCAACGGAATTCAAAGGTACCGGAGAGAAGGAGCTGTCGAACTGCATCAAGAGTGTCGGCGACGTTCTGCAAAGAACGAAGGAGCACCTCGTCGTCTGGGGCTTCAAGCGCTCGCGGAAGATCGTGGCGTTTCTGAACCCGGCGGCGCTGGTGAAGAAGTTGAAGGACGACGAGAGACACCTCAACAACCAGCTCATTATCTTGCTTACATCCGTCGCTGTGGTGGGGTACTTCCGTGATCATGCTAAAGAGGCGGGCCAGGCAAATCCCCTGCTGCCACCGCCTCCTTATTCGATCAAGCCGCTGGACGAGCTGTCGGATGCACAGGCTCAGGAATTTTGGCGTGGTTACATTGGGACGAAGGTGAGTATTGTTTTTGATGTCCATACAGCGCCCATGAATAAACCTCTTCATTTCATAGATCACATTTGTCGAACCAGCCTTGTTTTCCTATCGACTTATCATGTGGTATGACGGAGAGCTATCGAAGGATGCCTGCGATCGTATGATCATGCTCCTAGACGAGTACAACGCAGGCGGTATAACCCCGAGCAACCTAGCAAGGGTGCTAGGAGAAGAAACTCTTACTGCCTTTGTCAAACGATGCTCCAAGGGTAGGCCTGATATCCACGCCATCCCTAGTCCATCCCAATCAAACTATATCCTAGATGAAAAACCTCTCCCACTGGACGGGGCATGGATCACCACCCTGCCCGACCACGACGACCTCCGGACCCCACTACTCATTTGGATAGACGATGAACCACAAAATGTGGAGTACGAAGTCGAGGAGGCCCGCTCCAAAGGCATCCAGGTCATCGAACTTTCCTCTACGGCCGTGGCTAAAGCATGGGTAGAAGCCAACGCAGGTATGCATCCTTTTAATTTTCCCCTTTTCAAGGCTTGATCTTGCCTTTGCAGCCTTCCTCCGGGAGAACGATGATGGATCACGCGTCCGCTTCATCACGGACAACGTTCGATTAGAAGAGAGCTCCGACACAAGGTCGTTCTTGAACCCCTACGCGGGTGAATCCTTCCTTCGGTACCTTCGAGGACGGTCGTTCAAGGCACCTGTCCTAATCTACACCGGCATGAGCATCGACACGACCCAGTACGTGAATGGGTACGAAGCAGCCGGATCAACGACGTCTTCGTCGGTTGTCCTGAGCTATGTCTCGAACTTGGCGGTAGGAGGGAATGACGGGGATGATTGGAGGGGATTCCGTCGTTCTTGATCGACGTCACAGGATGGGCGAGCTGGGATTGGACGGTAGATTAAGGCTTGATGTGTTGTCTTCAGCCCCCGAATTCCCTCTTGCACGACTCAATGAAAGGCTTGATGACATCTCCCAACGGCTGGTTGTTGAGACGATATGCCCACGGCTTCGGTAAGCCTTTGCGTGAACCCCTGTGGTAGCTCTTGTAGAAGAGAGATCCCGCCGCAGGGACAGGTACCAGTTGCTCAGCGTTTGGGACGAGGTGTCGGACGGGTTCAAGCAGCTCCAAGAACCGCAGAACGAGGACCGGGGTCCCCTCGTGCTCAGGTAGCGTTGAGAGTTCGAAGCGCACCTTCGCAGAACCTAGACCAAAAATTAGACGCGACGGTAATATACTGAAGAAAGTACTCACCTGCATACGGGCTGACGTCTTTCCCCGACTTGAATACGCGGTCCAAGGTGATATGCTCGAACATTGAGAGATTGATGAGCCCGAGATGAATTTTGTTCGACGACAAATCGGCCACGAATGGCCAGTTGATGCTGTACAGCTGGCGGTAGTCGCTGCGCACGGTGGGCAACTTCTCAATTTTGTCCACAACCCGCCGCTCCACGAGACCTTCTTCCAGGATGAGATTAAGCAGGGGCTTCATCCGCTGGAGTTTGACGAGATAGTAGAGAGACACGCCCCACGGTTCGCCTCTGTTGGCGGCTAGCAGGTCGGAACCCTCCTGGAAGGCAGCTGGGTCTTGACAGAGGCGAAAGCGCAGCTGGCCGCTGAGAATGGGCTCCTTGGGCCGCGGCAGATGGTAGTAGAGCACTCCCCTGGTGTCGGGCGGAAACGGGTTGGCACTGCTCGGTATGTTCTCGTACGAGGTGAAGATATTCCCAATCATCCTGTCGTGCAACTGCGGTCGAAAAGTAGGATATCGCACTCCGGATATATCTTGCAGCAGCTGGCCCTTCGACGTCATTTCCTTCGGCCGTAATGTAAAAACCTTGTGTGCGTTCAAGCCTGCTGGGGGACCCTCGAAAGGGTTAGGAATAGCTATTTCAGCAAAAATTGACGGAACTTACTGTTAACGACCGTCTCAGAGTTAGAATGAGCCACCTGGGAATATTATGAGGCAGATATGGGATTAGAAGAGAGTTCATCCTGTATCTTGATCCTATAAGTCCACACTGCATAGCACCAGGTGGTGGCGAGGATGAACAGATGGGAAGTCGGAGCACGGTCAGATTCTTGCGTAATACACATCGCGACCATGTGATCACGATAACTGAGCCACGCGCGACGCGTCATTGGTCCGTGCGTTGTTTCTACATAATCTTGCCGTCCGAACTTTCCCCCACCGTCTGTGCTGGCATATTTCCCTTGCTTCTCTCACCTCAGCTCGGGACGACCTCCAATCATTATGAACATATCCATGATTTTCAGAGCCTATCTTCGCGAGGTTGCTTCTACAGGCACCAATCTTGGTATTCTCCTCAATTCCCAGTCGTTTTACCGACATCTGCATAGATATTTCTGATTTTGAAATTTGCAGGTACGGCTAGCGCGATGCCTCTGCTGTTTATTCCAGCTCGTCATGCTCGTGCTAGGAGTTCATGCAAGGTAAAGGTCAGCTTCTATTTGGTCTATGAATGGCTGACGAGTGTCATGGTCTATTTTCAGAGTCTTGCGTGCACTTCATGAACTCAATTTGGCGGGGTCAAGCATCTGGATGACACCGACTCAATACCTGGTCCTTCATTTGGCACTCAAATGTCAGGGACGCATTTAATCCGCTACGACTCGCTGCTCCGCAAGGAATCCAGGACCAGTAAACGTGTTCGATGCTGCATCCATGTATAACAGAACAAGCAGCCCTCGTGAATTTTGGAGACGTTCGAAGAACCATCCGACATGGATTTACAACAGGAAGTCTTCTTACTCCTGCTTCGCAAGCCTATAGGAGCAAGATTTCACCTTCCGGTCTAATATCGGATGCCCAATGTCACCTCTGTTTAGAGGGGCGCATATATGCACCTCTGTTTAGAGGGGCGCATATATGCACCTCTGTTTAGAGGGGCGCATATATGCACCTCTGATCTCGCGACGGCTTGTAGGAAGTTTTGTGGCGTGCTTTTGGCAACCCGCAATGAAAACCCTAACACCCGTCTCATTTTCTGTGCAATTTAATCCCTATTTTCGACTGTAGGTTTCTCCGGAGCGCCATCCTTTGCCTGCCTTGGAGAAATCCGACGTCTCGAAGCCTCGAAGCAGGACACTCAAGATCGACACTCGGACATCTCAGAGAAAAAATCACGGGTCCCGTTGACAAGGTCTCGTCGACGGTACTTCTCCGACTGCGGTTTAAAAAATCTCAAAATTTTGGGTATTCTAAGGGATCCGAGACCTTCCCTTTCTCTCTTCGTTTCGTCATTTCTCTCCCGAGAGTCGACCAATCCACAGCTTTCCAGTCTGCTAGTGAAATGACACAAAAACAGGCAGGAAAAATGCATTGGCCTTAATTTCTCAATATCCTGGTAGGTTTATCTTTCATCGTAGTGTTCGCGATCGTCTTCGTATTTACGCAGTTATCTTCCCCGATCACAGTTCCACCCCCAAGTTGGAATTGCCAGCTCTCACTTCCGCTAAGGTGGTATAGATGCTCTCGAATGTTGGTTCTGCACTAGTCGGTGGGCAGAAATGTTCGTACTAGGAATGTACTTAGTCAGGACGTTTGGATGACGTCCTATGAAGTCATGAACGACCCAGGTCCGTCCCGATATATCCGAGGACCGACGGGGCCTATCGCGTTCCGTCTATTTTGGGCTGGGGCGATAGCGCATCTCCGAGTCGCTCTTTCTTTCCATCATCACCCGTCTCCGACGCAGCGTTTTCTTACTCGGAGCTTTCAGTTCACCAGCTCCTCCATCTTCTTTCACCCTCACGTTTCTGACGCCATTACCCGCTGACAGTTCGAGTACCACTCAGGTTTCGAAGCAGCTACCACCACAGTCAAATAGAACTTTGGAATAGAAGATGCCCGCCGAGGTCAAGAATAAGGTCTGCCTTATGTACGCAGTGCTGGCTTGCATTTGATCGTAGCGCCATCTCACTGATTTTCTCCCTCCATCCGTTACTACTACGTCCTTCGATTCCGAATCCCACTCGCAAACACCAAAACCCGCATCGTAACGCCGCAATTCCTACTATCAATGAAGAGTGCACGATGGTTGGGGTATCGCGGCCGAGAAGGGTATCGAGGGAAACGCAATCGAGGCTGCCGACACGAAGAACATGGACCTGATCGCGGAGAAGTACGCTGCGACGGTCCTGCAGGCCAGTGGGACAGCTGTCGGGCTGAGCGAAGGGCTCATGGGGAACTCTGAGGTCGGGTACGTTATATTGGATGTCCTTTTCATCCATAGGAGGTGCTAATACGAGACGATCGCAGGCACTTGAACATCGGTGCGGGTCGGATCGTGTGGCAGGACATCGTCCGCATCGATATGTCGATCAAGAAGAGGCAGTTCCACAAGAGCGAGGCGATGCTTGCCGCCTGTAAACACGCAAAGGAGGGTACGGGGAAGCTGCATGCTATCGGTCTGGTACGTTTCTCGGTGGCCCCTCTAGCCTACAGACACCAACCCGATTCCGCAGGTATCGGACGGCGGAGTCCACTCGCATATCACGCATCTATTCGCCCTGCTCGAGACCGCAAAGGAACAAGGCGTGCCCCAGACGTACGTCCACTTCCTCGGAGACGGACGAGACACCGCCCCGCGATCTTCCGCAAAGTACGCAAAAGAGCTGCTCGATTTCACCAAGAAGCTTGGGTATGGTGAGATTGCAACGGTTATTGGCCGATACTACGCGATGGACCGCGATAAGCGGTGGGAGCGTGTTAAGATTGCTGTAGATGGATTGGTGGGCGGTGTCGGAGAGCAGGTGGAGGGTGGCCAGGAGGGTGTGGTGAAGGCAATCGAGGCCAGCTACGCGAAGGATGTCACGGACGAGTTCTTGAAGCCGATTATCGTGAATGGCGACGCTGGTCGTATCAAAGGTGTGCCGATTTCTTTTCTTTTCATTCTTTTACTTACTGATATTTTCTTTCAGACGGAGACACGCTCTTTTTCTTCAACTACCGCTCTGACCGTATGCGCGAGATCGTCTCCGTATTCGGCCTGCCGGATAAGCCGATGGAAGTTTCTGTGCCAAAGGACCTTGTATGCATCCGCCTTCCATCTCTTGACCCGTCACTCAAACATACCCAATAGAACATCACAACGATGTCGAGATACAACGCCGAATTCCCCTTTTCGGTGGCATTCCCGCCACAGGCGATGACCAACGTGCTCGCGGAGACACTAGCGAAGCAGGGCGTCAAGCAGGCGCATATAGCTGGTTCGTGCATCTTTCCTCTGTAGCATATTGTATCTCATATCCTTTTCTAGAAACCGAGAAATACGCCCACGTCACGTTCTTCTTCAACGGGGGTGTCGAAAAGCAGTTCGAGCAAGAAACACGGCACATGATCCCATCGCCGAAGGTTGCGACGTACGACAAGCAGCCAGAGATGAGCGCTCAGGGCGTTGCAGATAAGGTCGTTGAGGTGCTCGCTGCTGGCGACCAAGAGTTCGTCATGTGCAACTTTGCCCCTCCGGACATGGTAAGCATCTGCCTCTCGTCAACCTTCGTCCACTGAATTAACCCACATAAATCTTGTAGGTCGGCCACACGGGTATCTTCGACGCCGCCGTCTCTGCTGTCTCCGCAACGGACGTCGCAGTCGGTACCATCCTCGAGGCAGCACAAAAGCATGGCTACGTCCTCCTCATCACCGCCGACCACGGCAACGCCGAGCAGATGCGCGACCCCGTCACAGGCAACCCGCACACGGCGCACACGACGAATGTCGTCCCGTTCCTAATGGTCGGAGAGGGGCTCAAGTTCAAGGAGGAGAAGAAGGTCGAGGAGGAAGGCAAAGTTAAGGTCGGCGAAGGCGCGGAGGCGGTGAAGGAGGGAGGAGAGGAGCTTGACCCGCCGGCGCTTTGTGATGTTGCGCCGACGGTGTTGGATATCATGGTGCGAATATCTTCCCGTCTTATGGTTTCCTGTTTGTGTTAAAGTTGTTATTTCTTTCCTTTAGGGATTGACAATTCCGGATGAAATGACTGGACGCTCGCTGCTCGCGCATTAATGCATTCAATGCGAATACCTTTAGAAGAACTCTGGCCACCGTACACCTACCTGGAGAGGCCAGACAAAGCTTTGTACGTCAAGAATAAATGTAGAATATCACTGAATACCCGTCTTAACTTGTTGCTTGTTTGCGTATGCTTGTTGGACCTCACTTTTATAATCGCAAAATCAAGAACAGATCCCCAACAACACCTGACACACACTCTTCCCAACTTCGACCATGCACGGTGTGGTAGGCAACCCTCTACGTCTCTCTTCCTTTACTCCTGACGTAAATCACACCTTCAGATTCGTTTCCTCGACACAGAACTTCTTCCTGCCTCTTCACCCGAATATTATCCTAAAATCATCAAATCCGGGATCGACGAAGAAGGCCAACATCCCAAATCACCCAAAATCACGGGTCCCGACGGGATCGCGACGCTTCTCCACCGCGTCGGCCGATTGCAGCTCCTTGAACGTCTCTTCGACGTGACTGGGACCAACGAGTATAATCTACGCGTCCGAACGGGCGAGAGGTATCTGCAGGACGTGTATGTCAAACGGAGGGGTGTTGACGTCGAGGTACGTAGCGCGTGACGAACTGCAATTTTCTGCTGTGGTCTTTACTTACGCTCGCGAGCGCAGATCGGATTCATCAACAGCGATGGCGAATGGGCGCAGCACGGCGTGCGCTACCGCATTGAACCAGAGCCCGCAGGCTCCCCGTACCGCGTTGGAAAGTGGGTACCGCTCTCCACCTCCGATTTGGGTTCTGCATGGGGCGGCTCGGACGACTGGGTCCGTGCACAGGGTGGGGCAGTAGCCAAGGCCATATGGTTCCACAAACTCTACGATCGCGACATCGAGGTGAGCTGGAGTGGAATGACCGACGACGACAAGCAGGAGCTCGCCGCGTGGTCGAAGGAGCGTAAGGAGCGACGTGCAGAGCAGGCCAATGTCAGGCAGGATGAGCACGCGGCGCGCAGGTCCCAGTACGCTGGGAGCAACGAGGACGACGATATGACGGAGATGCGGATGGGGATGCAGGCGTATTACCAGTCGCGCAGGGCGTGTCGCGCGGATTGCGGAGAGCAGAACCCCAAGTTCAGCTGCTCAAAGTGCAAGGTTGCTCGTGAGTCTTTTGACCTTTTCTCTTATCGTTTTTGGTCGTGCTGACACGGAGGTTCGTGCAGGGTATTGCAGCCCAGCTTGTCAGTCAGGGGACTGGAAGGTGCGTCTAAGCTTTGGTATTTTGATATTCTCGGCATCTAATATTGACCCTGTTCGTAGTACCACAGAACTTACTGTGGAACAGAAGAACCCGTCTCTCAAGAGTATCTGCTACCTTTTTGAATTGTCAATTGCGCAAGTGTCCGTTTGCTTTCCTCTTTCTCTTCTCGATTATGCCCTTGGTCAATGGTGTCGTCTGCTCTGCGCACTTCTCGCCCCTGACTTACCCTGCGTCGTATATGCAAGCTTACACACCTTTCCTCGTTACCTACCTTAAATTCCTGGACCAATTATTGGTCAAATTGAGCGTTGAAGATAGCTGGCTCTAGCACCTGCATTCTAAAAGTTCTGAAGAGCTACGTACAGGCGTAGCCTTGAGGATGAATCGATGAAGCTCCAGTTCATAGAACTGCGAACAAAAAACAAAAGAACTCATATAGGGACTTGAGTTTAAGTAGCCAACGTGGGGATCGAACCCAAGACCTTCGCGTTATTGGCACGACGCTGCCAAATCCTTCGAGAGTGGTGCTGCGAGTGGAGCAAGTCTCCCTGGGATTCATCTTCGAAGCTTTCAAGGTTACTGACCGGGATAGTTTGAACCCATTCGAATTCCCGAAGCCTCCTGAAGCGCACGAAACTCCGTTGCGCACTCAGCCAGCGGTACATTTTTGGCGAAGGACATCGACTCGCGACGTAATCCTTCCCACACCAGCGCTTCCGCGGTTGCATGTTCTCCAGTCGCCCATATCGCCTTCTTCGAATCATTGGTATGTTGTGTAAGGTTCGCTGTGTGAGCGTCCAGCTTCGCAAGACAGAGTCGAGACGTTGCAACATTTACGTAGCCCCTATCGGAACCGCGTCTGTCATGTGATTTATGCACGTGCGTCGATTCCCTCGTCAGTTCCTGAAGCAGAAAGGCTCTTCCACCTCTCGTCTCGCACCTCGATGTTCTACCTCTACTTATCGACCTCTTATTCTTTGCATCTCGATCACAAATCGCGAAAGTCCTGAGATTGCGTCGTCAGAGGAAGAAGAAAAGAAAGGAACTGTCGTCACAATGCTGAGTTCGATGGCCACAGAAGCGTCAAAATGGCAGGAATCCTTCTCGCACATTAATCGAGATAATAGGGCTTATGGGTTTTAGCGAGGTGTGTACGTATTCTTCGACCGTTATGATCTGCTTTTAGACGACTGTAGCGCAGGCATGAGCACTGTCTGTTCAATTTCTATATCCGCAAGATATCAGGGTGTCTCCGCCTCCTGACGCTGACACTTACGGTGAGTAACCTACTTCTGCAACCTTAGAGATGTCACAGCTTATCTACTGTAAGAAAGAAACGTGATTGCTGTTCGGCCGGCCTTCAATCTTGTTAGCCAATGTAGGCGACTTCCAGCCTTACTAGAGAACTTTCTCTGTCAGAAGGCATTTCTACGCGTTGAAGTTAGTCCAACTGACATGAGGAACTGTAGAGAATATGCGGAAGAACCTCCACTTCATAGAGGCAGGGATCAACGATTACATGACGCCTTACGATGTGAGTGATCCCTTCCAGTGGCGAGACTCCCTGAGCCCAAGCGTATCCAGGAGTCGGAAAATGCTGACGAGATCGAGGCCCTTGTTGCACGTCTGGTACAATGGTGTCACGCATGGGAGCCACCACAAGAGTGAGTTCATAAACCGTTCCCTCCGCCTTCCTAACACCAAACAAGTCTGGATAGCTTCGGAGCGACAATCCTCTCATCCTGCACCCTGAACTTCCAAACACGCGTTTTTTCTGCCCTTCCAGCCAACCTTCCAGCCGCCTTCAAGAACCTATGCAGATCTTTGCTCGCCCCGCCAGCCGACGACGAAGATGGCCAGCTGCGTCAGTGGGACTCGTCGATTCACGCAACAACATGGCGGAATTTCGACTTTTTTGGGAATGATGGATCGGTACGAGAGCATCATCGCAAGTGTCGGTTATGAGTACATCGAGCAACATGTGCTAGATACCTGCACGGGAGAGTGGTCGAAGCCAATGTTGGAAGACTTACGGACCTGGATGTCGGACAGGGTTGTACCGTGGAGTGGTGCGTTTTTCTGGACTCGGGCTGATGTATCACTGCCCACTCCTCTCCTTATAGCCGACGAAGCAAGAACGATGCTTCAAGTTGTTGGTTCCCGTTTTGACTTCCATATCAACAAGACTTTGTGTGAATTACGGTTGGTGTCTTCATCGTCTGCTGACTCTTCATCATTGAACATTTTTTCTGCAGGACAAGAGAGATCTTTACTATTATAATCGACTACCCCGATTTCGAGATCCTAATGACGACGATCTTCACCCTGTCTTCCTATCTTACTACTCGATGGAAGTCCTGGTGCACTACCAGGTCTAGACGTCAGGTGATCATGAAGCGTACAAATGTTACGGTTGTGGAAGAAGAGAGTTGTCTCATTCATGCGTCTCGTGCGTTCAACTAGTACTCAGGAGGCCGCTGATCCTATTAATTGGTTGACTGTAGATGGTACTTGAACAGGAGCTACGTAGTTTCCTCAATCATGTCAAGGACCATACGCGCAGTTAGTCTCTCCGAATCCTCACATATTTTCCGCCCAAGCGCCTTCAGGTCCATGGAAATATCGCCCGTCAGGCAGCTCGTAATCAAATGCCCGACACCCCAGATATCAACTTCCGCCCCATGTCCATCATGCTTAATAGCTGGTGAATGGCTCTCAGGAGTAAAATCTTCTTGCGCGAGAGTAGGTGGGTAAGCAGCATCTTCCCAGTCTATGATGAACCATTTCGACTGATCTTCGACCGCACGGACGATATTACTCCACCGAATATCGCGATGAAACAAAGGTATCTGATGTGTCACCTGAACCGAGTCAGTTTATAGCAAAATAATGATAATAATAAAAAGACAACTCACAATGAGCGCCTCCAAAACACATTTGAGGCATTTCCGCAGTTCACCCTCTCCTCCTGGCTCCGTAGCAATTCCGCGTGGGCCCAAATGTATAGTATTCCCTCTGGCGAAGATAAGTTGGTCTACATTTGGGACCTGCTTTTCTCGTAGCTTGTTATAAGTGGACCGGAGGCGCTGGACTCGCGATTCTGCATCTGGAGATGTATACACTTTAACGATGAGCGTCGTTGTTATTTCGACCGCACAATGTCTCCTAGAGGCGTAGCATGTCAATTTTGCAACATTCATGTAGAATATTGGAGGTTGTACCGTTCCATGGGTTCATATTCACTACCGGCTGAGCTGATCATATCGGCTAATGGTTTAAGGAGGCTTGCAAGGTTGATGAGATGCCGTATATTGTCGATGCGTCCCTTGGTTAAGCTCAGGTCAACCGTCACCAAGTCGTGAACGATGGGCATTCCCAATTTGCCAACAGGTGGTGGTGTAATCACGACAAGGGTCATAACAGATGCATTACAATAGTAACCTCCAGAATGAATTAGAGAACCGAACGCTCGAAAGTCATAGAACATACCCAGTACATAAGGGGCAGGCGAATAGACCCACTTTGGCAGCTTGTTGCGGAGTTCTTCCTTGGGGTCCTCCATGCTGTTTGGGCCCATCTCCTCGCCTCGGAAGACACACTTACCGGATATGAGGTGACCGAAATCGGGTCTAAGATTTCGAGTTTCCGTGAGTTGATTACTGTTGCGTATGCTTGTGCCATATGGAATCAGGGTCTCGATGACTGAACGAATATTTGCATCCCAGAAACCGATAAAGGCATTCTCGGTACCGCCGCGAGGTGGCGGTTTCAAAACAGCGGCAACGAGACCATGGGTATTTAAATCCTTCGCATCGCCTGGCCCATCGCACAGCTGGAATAGGGACTGAACATCCTCCTCCATACACAAGTCATGCGGGCGATGCGAAATGAGGTTGTGATATATGTCAGCGTTAAGCTGGATCTTTTCCTCGACAGCAAGAGGCTGTTTGATGAATCCCAAGAGGTTCTCAAGTCGAGGGATTTCAATTTTAGCACGCTTGGTCCTCCATATGTCAGTGACTTTGCGATTAAATTCGCCGGAGGGAGAAAGCGCACGCTTTGCTGGTACGGAATGCTCATGCCGGACTGAAGACGTGAAAATGTCAAGGAGGGGATGGGCGTCAGGGAGAGAGTGCTCACGCTTGCGATCGGCGACCACGATATGAAATGTATCGCTAGACGGCTGAGGGAACAGGGTTGCAATTTTCTGGGTTTCACGGAGCTGCTGGTCTGCGTGATTGATGATCCATCGGCGTGCACGGTCATCCTGGTCTTCATAGGGCTCCAATGGGAGATCCGTCTGCTAAGAGTTAGTTGGATTGTTGTGACAGAGCGAGGAGGCCTACCTTGTAGAGGGAGAGGTCGCACTCGGCCACATCGAAGTTGGGGTCCCGCTTTTTGAGCTTCCCGTGGATTTTCTCCAACAGCTCTGTGACGAGTGCATCTGTACCGATAGGAATAACCATGGTATGAGGCTTTTCAGCCGGATAGAAACATATTATTTTCAGCTGCTCCATCTTTCGGTGAGGAGAGCGGTCGTGGTTGTGGAAAGACGTAGAACAATGTTGGTGACACTATCTAAAGTCCGACAATAGACTTTTATGTAAGCAAGCCTCGAGAATACCGTTCGGCTAAGCTTGTCCGATTTGGACATGTGCGTACTTTTCAATCTCTTCGTTTCTCAAGCTGCTTCGACAGACCAATTATAGAGAACAACCGAAGAGTACGATTGAGCTCAGCGGGACGCCGGACGAGGAATGCGGCGACGGGACAGCAAGTGTTATGATCCTCGGTGCGCATTTTATCTCCTTTCTCTCCTCTTTCTTTGGTACCTCATCAGACTCGCAACAACTAAACGCCGATCTTCTCAGTGCCCCAGGAATTTATGCAGGATATGGAATAAATCGGTCTGTTTTGACGTGTCAACGACGACGAGGGCCTACATCGGCTCGGCGTGGCTTGGGCAGGGGGTCTGTCCTCATGTTGACGCTTTGATAGCTGTTGGACTATGAGATGGGGTTAGACGATGCGGCGGCAGGGAGGGTTTGCGATGCTAGAACTGTATCCGAAATGAGAAAATCAGACCGAGCGGGAGTGGCTGGTAAGTCTGTTCCTTCATCTTCTGTCACCTTCACCATTGAACTCTTCTCTCATTTGGCCAATCTAGTTTCTCCCCTGTTGTCTTCCTCTTCCGTGGATGCGTGGCATAGCCTTTATCAGCGCCAATCAGAGGCGAGGTACGACGACTCTCAACACCACCCAGTTGTTTATTTCTCGCCAGAGATCCGGCTTCTGTTCTCGAGTCCGTGAGACCTACGCCCCCATTTCGCAAGTACTACGTGCTGATTCAACTTCGTTCTCGTTGGCAGGTACGAAGTTCAGGAGTGCGGCCGCACTGGAAAACCCGGTTGGGCGGAGTGCCAATTTCACGCCGTCCCTCGGTCCACGCCAATTCTCGAGCTCTCTCGTCATCTTCGCCGTACACCGACCCTCCGCCACGCACCTGCAAGCATTGGGAGACGGAAGAGAGATGGAGGACATCAGGCTGTCCACTTCGTGATCCCGTTCGATTCCCAACACCTCACGGGATGGAGGCGATTAGGACAAGGTCGAGGTGCATGAAAACCCCATCCGTGAAGGAGGATGATGGAGTGCTGGTTGTGAGGGAGAGACGTGGCTGGAGAAGGCGAGGCACGAGAAGGGGCCGACGAGGAAGCATGCTGCATCAGGAATCGAAGAATAGCTTGTGAGTTTTTTCGACATTTTTTTTCTGGCGATCGTTGGAGCTGTTAATGTTACCATTAGCAATGCATCTAGTGTTAAATGCCATTTCCTTCTCGAACCGTGTTCGTGTCCGGGGAAGTTTCACAAACCAAATCTCAGACGTCCGGCCCACGTATGATGTCCGCCGGCCAGCAAACAATGTTTGATGTAGTACAAATGATCCTCAACCCGTCGTCGCCGGCTCTCCTCCAACACCTGCGTGAAACTCGAGCCTTGAATTGCAAATTAACACCGCCCAGTCCTAATTCGCCGACTCAACCTCAATACCGAGCACATTTCGCCACCTGAATCCCGGTTTGCACTAGACGACGTACCCCAGTGCCGCAAAACGTGCTCCCGACGTGGTTCTCTACCGATCTTTTCTAGAATTCAGCAAGAGAGCTTCGTTGTGATTCAAGATTGGCCTTTTAGGTCATAGTGTTGGTGCCGTTTAAGCCGCATTCGCTGTTCCACCCGATCGTACGTCATGCAATATTTTCTTTATTTACATTCACATCTTGTTTCTCGCGTTGCGTAAAGTCCATTCGCGTTACTAATGCTATGCTCTTCTTTTCGTTCCCTTCACTATCTTCTATAGACATTGCTTTCCAGGAGATTCTTTGAACATCAACGGCGAGTAGGAGGGGTCGTTCTCTCTGGAGACGGAGGTGAAGGTATGAGTTGAGGTGGAAAAGCAAGCAGGAGTGAGGAGGCGAGCACAAGAGTAGGTCAGGTAGGCGGTAGAAGGACACTTGGTGTGTGCTATGATCGTTCTCGATTTTTGCCCTCGCTTCTAACTTTCTCTTCTCCTTTTTTCTAAAGAAAAAATTCCATATGCCCCGTACGGTGATGACTATTGCCCTGTCTCAACCTAGTCTCGAAGTAAAATTCTTCGAAGATGTTTGGATGTCGATCGTTGGTCCTGTGCTCCGTTTTCGGGTGGTCCTCACGGAATCCACCAGCGATGACCTCCGTTGGTGTGCACTCCGAAAGGAAGAACACGCTCGTTGACTAATATTCAGGCTGCATAGTTCGCACAATGGCATGCGCAAGTGTTCTAGCTTTCCTGAGCCGACTTTTTGATCAGTCGCTTCTTTCAAGGTTTGTCTTTCACTCTGGCCATTAAACCTGCAGCCACTAATAGTCAGTTCAAAATTCATCTCTTTGATACCTACTCATTGGTATTTGGCTACCGGGAAGTCGTGTACATTAATGGTCTTTCAGATAAGTAAACTTATTTTTCAGTGGAACTGTGGCGCAGTAAGCTATTGGTCGCCACGGGGTCCGCGGATTGCCCAATCTCGGATAAGCCTCTTATCGTCGACCGCCAACGGATGGCTCTTCATCTTCATTTTACTCAGCTCCAAGTTTATACGGCTATAGACAAAATTACCTCGTGAATGGAATGAATCAAGAAAAGCAGTTACGCACTCTAGCATGGGATTCTCTGAAGTAATCCCCCCCACTCTGCCCGTAGGCTCTCTCCTCAATGCCACCTCTCTCGCTGAGTCGAAGTCCGATGGGGTGAGCGGCATATTGACATAGGCTAACATGTTGCTATGAGCCGTATAATTCATTCGAATGAGGACCGAAAGGGCGTCTAAATGATGTGGGTTACGGTCCATCAATTGGCCGTTATCTTCCCAAGAGCGTCGTAACTTTTCGTGGTCGGCCACATTCTCAAGTAGGATTGAGATTAACCTGATAGTGCCTGGCATAGAAATGCTGATGAGAGGGTCAAATGGTATCTCAGGGATAAAGAGACAGTTGAAGTGCTTGGGGGTGAGTGGGTGGAGGATAACATTGACGGTGACAATGCAAGGCGTCCTCGGATCTGGGAACGTCGGAGAGCGGTTGAAGAGCTCAATTGCAATCCCGATCATCAAGTAGTGTAGCAGTATCTTCTCCTTTGGAATTTCAAACATCATCTTTCGAACGTAGATGCGCTGGGGTTCAGGAGGGAACCAGAGGCTCTTGTGATGAGCCCTTCACGGGAATCATGAGCAGATCGCGTATCTAAGAAAATAACGGCTTACCAGTCCTTCTTCTGACACTGATTATCACATTCAGGAATAAGTATGCTGACTCTCAGAATATATCTAGGCATCTCACCTCTCGACCACAGTAGAGGATAGAAAAGCACTGTTTGCGGGCCATGATCAGCGCCTCCGAAGTAGATCCGTTTGAGAAAGGCTCGGCACTCACCTTCGCGCATTTCTGCAGCCGCTCGTGTACCGTCTCCGAGCGAAAGCAATAGCTACACTTGCGAGTGCACTCCCCTTGGAACGCTTTACGGTTGGAGTTGCGATTGGGCATGGATAGGAGATAAGAGTAGTCTGCCGTCACTCGAAAGAAGAAACCTCAGTCAGGAAACACCGTCAAAATCACATATCACACGCAGGGACCTCATGACGATATCATCTGACAGCCTTCTTCCGCCTGGTGGGAATTTAAAATGGACGGTGCGCATCTGTTCAATAATCTAAACAAGGTGGATTCAATGTTGTCGAAGTCGATTAAGCGGGAGAAGCGACGTGTTGGGTAGATGCTCGAGGTAGATCTTTCAACTTGAAAGCACCGGTTCCCAGTTGCATGTGGATGGGCCTCGAGTGTAAAGCAAAATTGAATGCAAGGAAGCGGGGTTGATGATGTCTTCTTGAGCAGAATTGAGATTTTTTTGGCAGGAAATGACGATGCCAACGATTGGAAAGCGAAGGGTCAGACCGAACCTTATAGATAGTTGTACGCAGGACATAAATGCATTTCCACCCTGATGGTACGTAGGGATTTGCGTCCCAGAGAACACGAAAGAGACACAAGGCTGTAACTTATCCACAACAATATAAAAAGAAGAGTAGCGCCTTCCTCGATGGTTCATCTTGTTATCGGTGCAGTTGCCGACGGAATACCTCCATTAGGAATTGCCAATACCGAATTGAGAGTTTGGGTTCGCATCAATGTCGAGGAGGGCGATGAGGGCGGTGGTAGAGAGTCCGGACTGCATATGAAATGAATTTAGCCACCAAGGCCATATTCCGTTGAGACAGAAAATTTAA